TAAAGCTCTACCAAACTCAACTTTTATCCAATAATTCGCTCAGCAAAGACAGGTTCATGGGGTCGAAATCGAGGTAAAACGCCAACTAGCAGCGAGCCCCAGCTTGTAGAATTGGCAGCAGGAAGTCGTCCCTATGGTGGTCGATAATGATCAAGTCAAGGAACAAGAAGAATTGTATTCCATCGAGTGAGAGATCAAGACGTTTTTCACATTCACCATGGACAATGAATCCAACAGTGAAATCAAGTTTCACGTGGGTTTTGATAAAGATGGATAGTGAATTAAGGATAATTGCAGCTTCAGTCATCCGTTTTGGTATGGTTTCGACTTTGTCATCTAATTTTAATAAAATTTCACCCAATCTCTGTGGGCATGTGGTAGGACTCTGTGGGACATGACACCAAACTCTGCTATTACGATGTCCTTGGGGGTGGTGCCTATACCCGAAAAATTAAGGGAGGGAAGACTACGGTGGTTTGGGCATGTCCTTAGGCGACAACCATCGGATGCAGTCAGGAGGGTGGAGTCGATTACAGTCGACGGTGCCAGAAGGAGAGGACGACCAAGGCGGAAGTGGGAAGACTGCTTGAGATTTGATTTAAAGGATTTAGCCCTTACTGAGGACATGACCTCTGATAGGAAAGTATGGAGACTTAAGATCAGGGTAACTGAGTAGTACAGATCACATCCATAGGGTATATCATCTCTGTCTTCTTTTTATGCATTTGTAGTAATTTCCATGACTTTTTCTTTTTATACGTTTCTGTCATTGGAATTTATGAAGGCTTAGAACTACGGTAGCGGAGTAGTGTTGCTTTAGTTTAGGTTTTAACACATTTGACTTTATTCCTTCTCGTTGGTTTCTATCATTGAATTTTGTGTATCCTTTACTTCAAGTTTTGCTCTTTTTTAATACTAGTCGGGTCTTACGTTTCTGTCTATATGCAGAGATTTTTATGTAGGGATTTATTTGCAGGGATTACTTCACATTTCAGACGCACATATGTAGACTGCATATGAAGACTGTTCAACTATTTATTTATTCATTTATTTATACATGCATGGCATTTCTATCTTTACTTTGAATTTTTCTAACTGCCGGAGGTCTTCCACGGAAGCTGCTCTCAACCAGGTATTGGGGGCAGCCTACTACCCTACCTCCCTTTTACCCCATTGCATATGGAATAGGGTTTTATTGTTGTTGTTGTTGTTGTATATTGACTCCTAAAGTTTTTAGTTTTAACAAATGGATCCTCAAATTATTAATTAGATTCTAATAAGTTATTTTTATGGCGAGGAAAATTATTTGAAGTTGTATTTGTATGATAGATTGTCCGTGTTCGTCAGAAAAAGATTGGAAGCTATAAATCAAGTTGGTGAGCTGAATTTCATGAGTAATATTTTGGGTTTTGTTGACGTCCTGAATCCGAATCCGAAGTCCGTTTCGCCAAATTCAAACTCGGTAAGCTATTTTTCACTGATTAATTACCCGATTCGATCCGTTTTTCGCAATTAAGCTTCGTTTTTGATATAATTTCTGTTGATATGTATATGAGGAATTATTGGAAGTTGAATTAAAGATCAAGTGTGTTTGAATGGAATTTCTATGATCGATCAGTATGGCACAAAAAATCGAGGTAATACTTTACTAACTCTTTATGCTTTATGGATCATGTGAATATTGGTAACTGCATGAATAAGATATTATTGGTCTCATATGTGTAGTTAATTAATTTCTACACTCGATCTATATACGATAAAAATTCGGTAAATGATTATGGTTCAGATGACTTTTCTAAGAAATTGATGGATTGTTAGAATTAAAATTACAAGTTCTGTGTTTAGACATAAAGGAATCAGCTTGGATCTGTAACATATAATTTATTTCATCAAAGGTACATGGATGAGAAATTATGAGAATATTCCGGTAGGATAAATTACAGAAATACCCTTATATTGTAAAAAGACAAGATTTGACCATAGAAGGTGGATAAAGGATTTTTAAAGACATATTGATCCGATAAAATTTCCGATGTGCATAAGAAATGCTAGTTTTGTTTAGAAAATTTGGATATCTGGTTTTTAACCCCAAGGTGGTTTGTACAAGATACTAGAAGTTGTTAAGAGAATCATTTCAAGAGCAGAGAATGTTCAAGAAAGAAATTAATCATAGGATCTCTATATTATAATTATTTTTGTTAAGAGTTAATACCAAAATTATCTGGTTAAGAAATTATGAAAATGCCCTTGAGAGGTAAAATAGTCCGAGTTGACCCTGAATGAGAAAGTACTTTGAGGATTCGTACTTAACTCGATTAATTACAAATTTAATTGTTGACATCCTATTTTTGTATAGAAAATTACTGATAATTTCGTTACTAACATCTGAGAAGGCATTCAGCTTGGAAATCACCGAATTGAGTAAGTACATGACAAATATTTTATAGATGCTGCTCTTTTGTCAGAATTGTTTGAAAAAACTAAAGTAAATGATAAGTTTGGATTAAATAATAAGACTAGACGGAAGAAAATGATTGAAATACCCTAGATCTGTAAAATGACTAAAATACCCTTGTAATGAAAATGAATCAAGAATATCACCAAGCCAGGAATGAATGGATATCCTCAAGCTTTGAAATGAATGGTAAAATATTGAACACCAAAATGACCAAAATGCCCTTATGGCCTAGACTAAGTAAATGTCTTGGGCTAATTAAGGAATTCAAATAAACATAGGTGTTGTATTACCCTTAAAAGTAATGGAACATAATTTAAGTGAGTAGATCAACCCTAAAGCTATGTCAATACATGAATGGCATAAATATCATTTGAATGTGTGTTAGTATTCACAAGTGTGGATCGATGATAATTATGGACGTACTCAGCTCAACGCTAGAGCGCATTTGATATTAAGAAGTGGATATTTGTGAGATAAATCAATCACGAATACCAAAATGATTTTAGTATATGACCAAAGTGAAATGAACGGAAGTGCAACATGTATCCGAAACTCATAAGTGTCTGAATTAATCTGGAAAACTTTGAAGTAACCGGGATAAACTTGCTTGCTAAACGAACTAAGTAACCTCAATGACTGAGGATTCAATAGGTGATTGGATGAGTTTGGAAACACTAATAAACATACATGATGAATTGTCCTTATGGGTCATGAACCATGAATCAAGTACGTCTTTATTTTTTTGATATCATTGAAACGTGGAGATAAAATAAAGACCATAAGAAGATCTATTCAGCAATGATTACGAAGATGATTATTTACATGAATTATTAGTATTAAAGAGTAAATACCTGGAAAGACATTAAATTGATGGGTCGACACGTATTAGTTCTGAGAGTTGTTCAGTTCGAATAGTTTGATAAATCACTCGATCAACATGAATTGTAATGTCTGGAATCTTCGTTTCTCTTTTATTATCTCAAATCACTCCGGTTATTCCTGAACACTTTCCTGATGCACATGAATCATAGTGGAATTCTAAAGCATAAATCTGAAATGTTTGAATAGATCGGTTAGAAATCGATTCTCTTCAATAAGTTCTTGCCCATGGAATCCGATCAAATTGCACAACTTTCATGTTATCTATATTGATAACTACAAAATGCCTCTGAAAAATACTTGGATCCTCTAGTTTGTTCCCTATGTACTACATAATTGTTTTATATGTTTTGAAAAATGGTACATTGAAAACTATAGTTTACCGTTATTGATACACCGACTTACTGGTGATGGTTTATAGACTATGACTGATATATGATTATTGGTTTTCACTGATATATGATAACGATGATTACAGATTTATGGAAAATATACTTAATGCATAAATTGTAATTTGAAATACTGATTTTTGGTTGGATTGAATTACGGAGGTATAGCTCTGATATAGCTAGTAAACCTTACGGACCTAATGTGACGGGCACCAAGATGCTCCATTAGGTTGGCTTCCTTTTTGCTATGTGCTTAGGGTAAGCCCTACGGACTTACGGACTTAAGGATACAGGCCCTAAAGCCTATCCTTAGATTGGCTTCCTTTATGCTGTGTGCTTAAGGTAAGCCCTACGGACGTAGTTCTGAGGAACTGTGGATGGTGTACATGAAAAGGATTTAAACTACGAGTTTCAAAAGTGAAACTTCATTATGATTTTATGATGATTTACTGAACTATTACTCGTTTATTATACCTACTATGGTTAAAAAGATTTATATCTTTTCACTGGTTTTGATTGGAACACACTAGACATCCTTTTTGACTCTTGAAAACGTGATAGAATGAAATGTTTCCTATGAATTGTGATCTTCATGGCTCCTACTCGATGGACTACTAATGAAACCCCAGATTATTCCTCAAATTGGTATACGTCAGATTCAATAAGGAAATTATATGGTTTTCCAATTATCTGCATGTCATGATGCATCATCTGGTAGTTCTGTGTTACCGAGCTTTCTGAAGCTCACTCTATTACTAATCATTGCCGGTTAAAAGAATTGTACCAATGCAGCTATCGATTTCAGTAAAGGAGTTCTTCTGGCGTTGCTTGCAAAGGATGGTACATGTGATTAGGTGGGTCGCTCCAGTGGCCCTAATGTGACACTCCAGATTGGATCGGGCTATCTGCATCGGTCTGAGGGGATTACAATTTGTTTTGATTTTGTTTAAATGAATCAAATAACATTTAGCGGCTTTAATTATTCCTCTTTTTTCAAAGTTAATTAAATTGACTTAATTATCTTAATTTAACATGTTAATTGGCGTTTAGAATTAATAATAACGTTCAAAATTCTGAAAATGCCACATGTATACAATATATGGCAGCCTGACATGTTTTTTTTATGATTTTTTAATTATCATGTCACATATTACTAACCGTTTGAGAGACTTAAATCGGATGAACCGATAATATTAAAATCACATACACTTAATTAAGAAATTAGTTGTCAGAAACAAAGGAACTGCTGACATAATTTACCCTATATACCGGTATCTACTTTCCCTCTCCATCTCCTCACTCCTTCAGATCCTCCATACAAGCTCCTCCAAGCTCCTCCAAGCTCGCCCATCTTTCTCCCTCCTCTCCAAAAGCAAATCCATTCATACCCTCAAAACAAGTCCACCCCCACTTCATCAAGATCGGCCTACACCACACCCTGTTCGCTCTCAGCAAGCTCATCGATTTCTGCGCCGTCTCGCCTTCGGGTGACTTGCCTTATGCGCTTTCCCTCTTCGAATCTATCGATGAACCTAATCAAGTCGTTTGGAGCACAATGATTAGAGGGCTTTCCTTGAGTTCATCCCCTGAACTCGCCTTGGATTTCTTTGCTAAAATTATAACGTCCGGTCTTGTCCCGAATTCTTATACTTTCCTTTTCGTTTTTTAGTCTTGCGCGAAAATGGATGGTATCCAAATGGGGAACAGGTTCATGGAAAGGTTTTGAAGCTTTGGAAAGGTTTTGAAGCTTGGGCTTGACTCTGATGCCTTTGTTCATACTTCACTTAGTGAATTAGGTAATGCGCGTTTGGTGTTTGATAAAAGTCCTTTGAGAGATGCAGTCTCTTACACAGCGTTGATAATTGGGTATATATCTATTGGTTATATGGAAAGTGCTCGTGAACTTTTCGATGAAATTCCTGTTCGAGATGTAGTGTCCTGGAATGCGATGATTGCGGGGTATGTCCAGACCGGTCGATACGAAAAAGCATTGGCCTTTTTCGAAGAGATGATTGGAGGCTCTGGAGCGAATGTTGTGCTTAATGAAAACACATTGGTGACGGTCCTGTCGGCTTGTGCTCAGTCGGGTTCTCTTGAAACGGGGAAGCATTTGGAGAACAGGGGAAGTTACGGAGAAGATGTATTTGAGGAAGAAAACCTATAGAAAAAAGAGTAAATTAATATTTTATTTCTAAATCATTTTAGGTTTATGGTTTTTTTAATATCTAAATTTTAAGAATTAAAATAAAAATTAAACAAACAGAAGTTAATGTATTAATAATAACATTTTAATTAAAATGAAACGAAAGTGATCGTATATTATATTTATTAAGTTCAATTACTATAAATTTATAAAATTTAAACGAAAATGATTATTTATATGGTTTATTTTTCTTATTATATAAATAGTGTCCAAAATTATCAAATGTTTATGGAATAGATTTTTGGTATTAAAGAGTAATTAATGTCATTTGCCTTGGGTTGAATCTCACGACTTATCGTAAATATTTTAAAAATAATAATTAAAAGTATTTACTGTTCACGGACCAAATGGAGCCAGAGAGATGTAATGTAAGTGAAAAATCAGCATTAGAATTCATAACAAACAAAGGGTCAATATCTAATAATTAATTTTAGAGCTTAATTTGATATTTTATTTATTTTTATTTAATTAGACATTTTAATTAATTTTAAAGTTAAATTTGGTATTTAATATTCTTTATTTAATAAAGAATTGGAGTTTGCTTTTTTTTTAATTGGCTAAAACTCGCAAATATCTGTTGGATTAAAAAGTTAAACTTAGGTATTAATTTTAGGGCTATTGAAGAAATATTAACTTTTGGCGTTTAAAATTATCCGATTTAATATATTTGATTTATTAATTTATCGATCTAAATAAAAATAGCATCCCTTCTTTTACGTTTATAATTTTTATTAATTTAATAAAAATACTATAAACCTAGAAGACTAACAATATTTTACCTTTTCTATAGTTATAAGACAACAATTAATATTAAAATTAAATAAAAATTATAACAATTATTAATATTTTAAACAAAAATAATAATCCAATTTTATAAATATAACATAAAAACTAAATTTAAATTTTAGTGTTTTTTATTTACGTAAAAATATCTAAAATAGAGTCTAAGCAACGACGAATCTACTAAGGAGTTGAGAGGGGTAGCAGTTCTCTTAAATTTTTAGTATATTGATATTTTATGTTTATGTGTTTTTTTATTTAAATCTTAATCAATTAAGTCGCTCTCTCTTCCCCCTCCCCCCCCCCCCTCCTGTTCTTTTTTTACAATTTGTGTTATTTTTTATAAATTAAATTATTTTTTTTCTTTGATTTTGTTTAGTCGACGACGATACCAATTTTAATATTGATTGTCGATCGTCGGTTGTCTTATTTTTCTTTATCTTTTTTAGATTTTTAGGAATACTTATATCGTTATGACATGTTTATCTATGTCTTTGTGACATTTTATCTCTATCTTTTGGCAGTTTTCGGTTTTTTTGTCGTTGTTTTTGTTTATCTTTTTTTAAGGTTGGATTTGACATCGTCATGACCAATCAAGATGACACTTACTTGTTATCATACTGATTTTTCCTACTTTAGATTCTCGGATTGATTTAGATACGCGTTTTGCGTTCGTGGATAGTTTTCTCACGTCGTTTGCCGATACAGTTAGATTTGTTCCTATCTTTATTTTGTTCGAGTATTTTGGTTATGATTTTTTAACTTTTTCCTTCTTTGGTCATTGTGCGATCTAGGTAGTTAATTTTTATATTAATGATTATAGGAAAATGTCTTAATTATAATTTAGTTTAGGTTTACAGTTATACTTGTAAATCTTCATTGTAATTTTGGATATTTTCTATTTTTTAATAAAAATCTTAATAAAATTAAGGTTTTTATTCCTTCTAATTTTTAAATTTTAAATACTTAATATAGCATTTTTTTTTATATAAACCAATTAACCCTTTCAATATTTGATTCTACTTCCTTCTCTTAGCCCAAAAACTCTTATACAAATATATAATACTTAATTGTATTATTCAAAGATTCATTAATTATTTTATTATTACTTGTAATATGGACTTAGATACTTGTAAACAGAACTTACCATACATATATATATATAAAATATTGATTGCTAATCCTCCTAATGCAAAGTACAAAACTTGGAATTTATTGACATACATGACTTTCCAGGTTGATGATGAGATAAGAAAATCTCACATGAAAATAAAGGTTTGGTCATTGGTCATTGGTCATTGGTCTTGGTTGGTAAGGGAAAAAACATCATTTTCAGCATATTTTCGTGGTGTCCTGAGACCAGGTTCTTGTCCATAACCTGCAAACATCTATATCCAATTGATTGGAAACTTCATATTTATATATAACTCTGCTGTCAGATCCTTTCATTGATCATGCAACCAACCCCCAACTAGGATTTTCCTGAAACAAAAACAATGAGGAAGAAGAAGGAAAGTCGGGCGTCGGCGAAAACGAAAGAGAAACAACTTCACAGTCTGATCAAAGTTTTGAGGCCCAAGGTTTACATTACAGACAGCTCAAGCTTCAAGCAGCTTGTTCAAGAGCTAACAGGATATCAGAGCCAAATTACTGATATACCTATAGAGGTCGAAAAGGTTCCCGTCATGGAAAACATCAAAATAGCTGCCCCTGCTATCACCACGACATCTTTGGATTCGTTGGAGTCTTTTGAGCAAGCATTTCAGTTGGAAGAAATAGATGAAGAAAGTGGCCTGATGAAGACGGCTGATCAGGACATGTCAATGTTTGGTCGTGTGCCTTTGTTGACAAGCCAAGGACATACTGATATACCCATAGAAGTCGAAAAGGTTCCCGTCATGGAAAACATTGAAATAGCTGCCCCTGCTATCACCACGACATCTTTGGATTCGTTGGAGTCGTTTGAGCAAGCATTTCAGTTGGAAGAAACAGATGAAGAAAGTGGCCTGATGAAGACGGCTGATCAGGACATGTCGATGTTTGATCATGTGCCTTTGTTGGCAAGCCAAGGACATACGGATTGGCGAGCATACCGGAATATCGAGTCCTGGCTTTTTGACGCTGATGATCATGAGCCGTATTCTTGGTATACAGGTTCCACCATGACTGAACAGGAGGCCAGCTTATTTGACTATGAATTATTATATTAAGCCTTGACATCATTGATTGCTGCATATGTATAATGAAACATTTTAGATCAAATGTAAAGAACAATGAAAGAATATATATAATGATTGTATTTATATTTCTGAGAAATGGACATTTTCTGATATAAATAGAGAAAGCAGACAAACCAACATATTGAAAAAAACATGCACACATTATTTTGAAAGTCAAGGAAAGATATTTGGAAACCGAGCCATCCCTTTGTTATCTTGGCCTTCTATGAACTTGTGTAGCTGGGAGGCTGTACAAGGACTTCAATTGCCGGCTTATCAACTTGCTCTTATTTAGAGCAAGCTGGAGATCCAAGTCATCCGACCACCATTGCTCCAATCCGTTAGCCTCCAGAAACGTTTGTTTCCCTTTCGACATCACAAACAACTTCGGCTCAGCTTGTCCGTTTGAAGGTCCAACATTCTCCTTGTCTGCATCATTTTCATCTTGTCTGTCAGGGTCGGTATAGTGGCAACAGATGTAATCACTATTATTCACATATAAGTGAGGCACCCATTGTTTCAATCCGACTGAAGCCTTCTCACCATATATATGACGTAACCAATTCTTTAGACCTAGAGAGTTATCCTTGATACCTTCAACACCAATGGCCCGAGGTTCACTGCTCGAAGGAAGCATCAACTTGAGTCTCTTCCAAGCAAACCCCGCCTTTTCTCCTATATTTCTTAAGCTCATAGCTAGAGAAATAGAGGGCGGGTTAAACAAATTAGCATCCACATAAATATCCTCTTTAGCCAATGCTTTTCCCACTTGTAAAGCAAAACCAGCCCCCAAGGAATGGCCTGCAATACATACATTGCTGCTTAAGAAACATTGCAATTGGAACTCCAGCATCAATAGTTCCTGGTTCCGTATCCTCTGTCCACTCTTGTTATTAGCGGAAGCCATAGGCGAGTTTTGTGACCTGGATGGAGCTTGCCCTTTGGACAATGGCTCCCTTGGAGCGATAGTACGAGATTCTGAGGGACTACTTCTAGCAGGGCGAGCAACTTGCATTGATGGACCACGGGATGTAGGTATGATTGAAGCAGAAGCTATTTGTTTTGGTCTTCGCCTAGTTATTGAGTTGGGATTTTCGAAAGTTATCGTTGAAAGTGATGCGATTAATGTCGTAAATCAGCTTATTCACCACCGATCCGACTTGTCTATTATTCATTTCATCTTGGCCGATGCACGACACCTCATTGAATCCCATCCCGACTATAATATCCACCCTATCCGACGTTCGGCTAATATTGTAGTGCATACTCTGGCACACTACGCTTCTACTAATTTCTCCTGTCTTTTACATATGATTCTCCTACTTGGTTATCTAATGTTATTGTAACAATGCTATCGTTGGTTAATGAATTTCATGGTTATCTTAAAAAAATAATAATGAAAATTTAAGTGAGATCAAATTTTACAATGAATATTGAATTTGGATTTAGAATAAAAATCTCTTTGATTCGACTTGACTCAGTAATAGTATAATATTTTATTATAAAATTTATGATAATTACTATAATTTGTTAATTAAGTTCATGTTTTATCAAATATAAATATTTATATATATTCATATCAGATTTGATCGAAATAAATTTTTTTATCTTAAAGTTCTAGTTGAGTTTGATTCATATAGAAATATATTTCTTAAATAAAATTGAATATAAAATTGAATGATATAAATATGATTTTAAATCATATTGGACTTAAATGAAATAAATATATTTCTTAATCGGATTAAATGAATAAAAAAATCTAATCGAATTCAACTCGTTATCATCCACCACGCATCTCATATGAACATGTGGAGGATATGGCAAGTAATTAAAGGCACGTCAAAGATAGAAAAAATTTATCAGCTTATCATTAATTTACACAATCCATCGTTTTATATAAAGTCATGTAAATATTCTAACTGCCCAACAGAACCAACTAACTGTATTGTAAAACTAACAGTAGGGTTGTAAAAAGTTGACCAGACGTATAAAATTGACTGAAATTGACTCTAGTTAAAATTGTTTTTGACTTGCTCTGCGGTGATCCGAAACCGACTCGAGTCGGAACTGGTGTTGACCTGAACCCGATTTGGACTTGGAAATTGTGGATCCGAACCCGATCTGCATCCGACCTGAGAACGACATGAACCTGAATTGAACCGAAAATATGATACCCGAACCCGAACTGCATCCGACTGATATGAACCCGAACTCGAGATTGACCTGGTAAATAACTGGTATTACCCTACCTGTTTTCAACTTGACATGTTTTTAACCTGACCTGTAAATGATCCGACTTGTTAATTATCTGATCTGATATTTATTTGACTTATATATTACCATAGAAATCTTATAAATTATCAGTTTTTAAACTTATGATGTAATTAAAATATTAATATGATTACTTTTTAAATGTTATAATAAAATATTTATTATGATAATTATATTAATAAATAGACCTATTATATAAAATTATTTAATAAAATTAATAAAATTATTTAAATGTAAATTAGATAAAACATTATTAATAATGCAAAGGAAAATTAATATAATTTAATTTATATAAAGAAAAAATAATATTAATAATAAAAGTATTTATTATATAATATATGTTAATGGCAATTCATAATTCTGACTGCCGGAGGTCTTCTACGGAAGCTGCTCTCAACCTGGCGTTGGGGGCAGGCTACTAACTTACCTCCCTCTCACCCTATTACACATGGGAATAGAGTCAGCTAATTAATAATATAAATAATTTTGGTAATAAAATAATAATTAATTTGATAATAAATGAATATTAGTATTAAACGTGATTAATTCTCTAAAATATAAATATAAACTATATCGTTTAATTTTTGTACAAAACATTATCTAACAATTATAACATAAATGAAAAATAATATAAATATAAACTATACCGTTTATATAAACTATATACTTTATATAGTATATGCATAGTGTTTCTATAAATTGCATCGAATTGAAAATTTAAGAAGATATTTACAATTAAACCATGATTAAAATAAAAGAAATTAAAAATAAAATACAAGTGGAAACATGATGATTGTTGGAGGAGCATGAGCCTAATTAACCCAAAATATCTTGTTAGACAGTATATTTGGCGCCAACTTCCCAAATTTTTCTATTCCCTCTAAATTTCTCAATTTCCCTTTAAATTTCTCAATTTCCCTCTAAATTCTCAATTTCCCTATATTCTCAAAATTTCATAATTTCCCTCTAAATTCCCAAATAAAATTAAAAAAATTCACACAAACATCTTTCTTTTAAAAAGTTTTCTCCCACCACTCACTTTGAATAATATATATATATAATTAAACATAAGTGACTAAAATAAAAGATTCTAAAATTAACATTAACATTTAATAATTAGCCTACATGTATTACAAATAAAGAAAATAACTTTAGTGACCGAAAATGCTTTATAATATACGATTTTAACCAACTTTTTTTGGATTTGCGAAAATGACCAACAAATTCGCAACGCGATATCGAAATCGCAACGCGAACTCCAAATTCGCAACACAGTTTTCAAATTCGCAACTCAGTTTTTGCAATCGCAACTCGATTTATGAATTCGCAACGCGAATTTCTTTTTCGCAACACAAGTTTCCTTTTCGCAGCAAGATTTTCTAAATCGCAACATGAATTTTGTTTTCGCAACTCGATTTTCGAATTCGCAACACAAATTTTAATTTCGCAATAACTTTTATTTTCGCAACACAAATGTTTTGGGCATATAAACTACGCAGTAACAACAACTCATAACCTAAATCCCTAAATCGTAACTCATTCCATCTCCATCTATCACTCTCTCCGGCGACATCTGTTCCTATATCCAACGACATCCCTCCCCATCTCTAATTTTTTTTTTACATAATTTTATTTCTATATAATTTTTCAATGATTTCTCTCCCAAATTATCAACTATCAACTTAATAAAGGTATGTTTTTCTCTAAGTTAGTGATGATATATAGTTTATAGCTCGTTTGTTTAGTAAATTAATTTACAATTTGTAGAATGAAATCATCCAATGTTGATCATGTTTGAATAGATTTGTGTTTTGGAGGGTCATGGGAGAATGCTCACGGTGTTTTAAAAAATATGTCTTTACCTATGAATCTTCAACTAAAATTGTCATTAAAAAAGTTAACTTATGAAACTCTAATGTTACATGTTGCAAAGAAATTGAATTTAGAGCCCCTAAGTGGATTTATGTTATCTTATCAGAGAAAAGGTAAAGTTTATTTGTTAACCGACAATGAAGATTTGAACGATTCATTGCTTACATTAGTGTTTCGCAAGAAGATGATGTTACATTGTATGTTGTTGAACCTAGAAGTAGTGAAGTTGGGTCAGTAGCGGGTAGTAATCAACTAAGTTCTTCAACCCCAGTTTATGGTTCTCACAATGTACAACGTTGTTATCAACCTCAAAATTTAATGGTTCCACCACAATTTCATCACCAAGAAAATTTATTTCACCACATTTCCAATACCAAACACAATATCAAACGTGTTCTCAGAACCCACAACCTTTCCCTAATCCAAATCCCAATCAACTTTCAGCACCAAATTCTGATTTTCGTATTGACCAGTTAGACGATGATGAGCCAACAGAAAAAATTGTGAGTACTAGTCAGTATTCGAAATTTGATCTTGTTCAATACCCGGACTTTGATCTTGGCCAATACTAGGATTTTGACGATGTTTCAGAAGAAGAAACAGACACTGCGTATAATGATTTTGATATTGGTCAATACCCGAATTTTGATGATGAAACAACCGCTGCCGATGAAGATGTTGTTGATGATAATGAGGAGGAAGTTACGACTGTGAATGAACATGTTGAACATCTATTCTGTAATTCATATAACCCTGAAGAAGAAAAAGAAGAAGAAGAAGTCCCCGAAGAAAATAAAAAGAAGAAAATGCTACGAGAGTATAATTGGAATATGCCAGAATTACTTCAGATACCGGAAGAAGAGTTGGTAAAGATAATAGTTGATTGTTACACAAAAGTTATTCGTATCAAGAAAGATGATTGTTTTGATACAAAGGAAGACTTGAAGATAGCTTTGTATACGAAATGTGTGGAAGATTGACAAAAACTGTATGTGGCGTATGATTGCAAAGAGGATAAAAGATTGTGAAATGTTTCAAGTTAGGACTTTTATTTATAAACATACATGTTCAAGAACCCAAGTTTTTCCTCACCATAGACATGCAAACAAAAAGGTGTTGGGTGGTTTTCTGGCTGAGTTAATGTTTTTGAATAGCAGGGTATATCGGGGACATGAAATTATGACTGACATGAATGCTCGGTTCAAGATTAGTATCTCATATTCTCAAGCTTGGAGAGCCAAATGTTATGCCTTGGAATTGTTGAGGGGGTCGACGTAAGCATCGTTTGCCCAACTGTCGGCTTATTGTCACAATTTAAAGCTAAAAAATCCTGGGTCGGTAACTAATATCAAAATAGATAGAGATGGATGCTTTGAGTTGCTGTTTATCTCCATTGGTGTTGCGGTTAGTAAATCAATATAATTTTGTTGACTCATTTTTGTTAGTTACATACATTTCACATTTAAATGATTATATTTCTTGTGTATATTATTTTGTAGATTTGTTCGTTTATTACTTGCATGCGCCCAGTTATTATAGTTGACGGAGTATATTTGAAAGGTCGATACCTTGGAGTAAACTTATTAGCAGTAGTCATGGATGCTAACAATGGGATACTGCCAATAGCTTACGGGGATGGAAAATCTGAAACCTCTTATTCATGAACATGGTTTATAGGGCATCTTAGGGATTGCATAGGTTCTATTAGGAATCTGACAATCATATCTTATTGGGAAAACTAAATTGACAGTGTTGTTAGAAGGTGTTTCCCAGATGCTTTTCATGAACTTTGTGGTGTTCATTTATATAGAAATCTAAAATCAAGGTATGTTGGTATAAAAAATCACAAATGGACATACTGGAAGGCTGTAA